AAGGTTTGAACAGGATGTCTTAGGCTTTGGGGAAGGCCTCATCATGGATTGTTTCACTATGGGGGTATGTGTAAAACAAAGAACCTTTTCTTCAGGCTAAAAGCCACAGAGAGTCAGGGAGGGATTTGTTCTTTTGTAAGATTTTCACAATTACTAAATGGGATTCCATGAGAATTGCTTTAATTCTTTCCAAAGCCAATGCCCTCCAGGGGCCTAATAACCTACAAGGCTCCATTTCTTAGAGGTCCTACCATCTCTTAGTGTCAACTGCATTTGAGACCAATTTTCAACATGTGAGTTTTTGGAAGACACTTAAACCGTAGTGCCATGGTAGGGATTTGGCCAGAGAAAAACACTAAACGCTTTTAAGTAGTGGGATAGCATAGCTTCTCATCTGTAGTTTTGGAAATTCTTTCACTGCCAGGTGGCAAATAAATAAGAGACAGGGAAACCATTTAGAAGGCTGTCAGATAATCCAGGAACAACGACGTTGGTAAAGTTGCAGAGGGATGGAGAGATGGTGATAAAGTCACATGACTTTCTACTTTACCATTCATGCCACCTTTACATTTATGTCTGTCCAAATACTGTGAGTTGCTCATTTTTTAATTACTTGCATTATTTTCTCATATACTCCAGTTCAGTAAATACTTGATGACTCATCTTGTTATTCCTTGCTACCTTGTTTGTCACTGGAGCTGCAAAGGAGGCATGACTGTGCTGCTTGTTTGAGTCCCCTATTTTGTTCTTATGAAAAATGAGTGGCTGTAGGGCTGGCCTGATAGCTCAGTGGACTAAAGTGCCTGCTTAGTCAGAGTGCAGCTGCTGGGTTTCGATACCTGGTGTGCCGTGCCAGCCCTGCCTGTGGGCGCGTTGAGATGGCGATTGAGACTGGGCATGGTGGCATGTGCCTGTAATTCCAGCACCTGGGAGGCTGAAAACAGGAGAATCACTATGAGTCCAATCTATGTAATGAGAGCTTGGTGACATTGTAGGCCCTGTCCTAAATACAAAAGAAAAAAGAAAAAAAGAGTGGCTGAGAGGAAAGATTTAAGCCAGAAATACAGTTCTTCTATAAATTTTACTATACTGTGCTCAGGAGGAATAGCTCTAAAGAACTGATACTCGAATAACTCAGAATAAGTCACTTGAAAACAGAGCTAGTTATATCTCTCACTTCTTATTCCTCACATCTACAGCCTGGATCACAGCAAACTCCCAGTTTTCAACCAAGCAACTGAGGCTTATCTTAGAAGATGCATGCATACAGATATGTCCATGGCAAACATAAGGCATGTTAGTAACTTGAATGATTGATCATATGGCACAGTGAGAAATGCTTTTTTCCTCCCCAGGCTACTTATTTCAAGTTCAAGATAGAGTATTTGGAACACAGAAATATGAACAACGGATTGTTGCAGTTCATAAAGCATGCAGGGTGTTTCGGATGCCAGACAAAGAAGAAGAGAGCAGGATTTGTAAAGCAATGTATTTGTACACTTCACATTTGCGGGTATGTTACTAATTTTGAAAAGATGATTTAGTTATAGCATTCCCTGGCAGCTGAGAGACTATCAGCTTTGCATTCTGTCACCAAAAGCTCACTTAGGAACTTTTAAGTGGGCTCTGCTGCGATTTCTTAAAGCATACACTTTGTTACTTTTGGTTAACTACATGCTCAGATATCCAAGGTGTGTGATTAACCAGGACTATATTAACTTTATTTTTTGAAATAATATCTCATTATATAGTTCAGGCTAGCCTGGAAATCATTGTGTCTGGCCCAACAATTCTTCTTATGCCATTCCCTTGAAAAGACTTAAAAATGCATTAAGTTAGCATGTATTTACCTTAGTTGAATTTCAGTGTAGGTCACTGGCACCATCATTCTGAGGGATACATTTACAATTTAATGCTGACTCTGGAAATTAAATTGAATGGCTTAATTATCATACAGGTTAATGGTAGAAGTTCATCTGCTTTTGTTACTGCTTTTTATGGCATATTTTTCATGTAAATTTCTCATTTCCAAGTTGTAATTCTAAAATCCAAGTGATTCTCATTCATGTTTCTAGATAGTAGAGATTTTTAAAAAAGAGTACTATATAGCTCAAAAGTTTTATTGTAGAACCAATAGGGGCCATTCATCTTTAAAAATTCATTTTGAATAAACTTAAATGTTTTCTTAAAAGCAATTAGCAAGTATAGCTAATGTGTTAGATGTTGGAAACATACTGAAACTCAGTTTTTATTTCAACAGAAATACAATGATACCCTCATTATCAGTGAGGATGCACAAATGAAAGATGCTTTGAATTACCTGAAAGATTTCTTTAACAATGTCCGAGCAGCAGCATTTGGTGAAATTGAGCAAGAGCTTACTCGGAGGTTTGAAGGTGAGGGGTATTTTCAGAACAGTGTTGAAAATTCAGTGTGAACATTGCAGTCATGTTCATGCTATTATTCTGGGTTTAAGAAGATATAAAGAGTAGATCAAAATGACCCATTGGTCTGCTGTTCTGATATTATTACCCAGAATCAGAAAGATATTGAATAAAAATTAAGTTTTCCTCCCTTATTCAATTCCTTCAAAGGAATCATGTTACTAAATTTTTTTATCTGTGCTGAAATATTTTATACATATGTGTAACCAGGTACGTGTTGGTAAGCATTTAAACAAATGATTCTCTGGGAATATATATATCTATATATATCTATATGTATCTATATATATATATATATACACACACACACATATATATATATGCATAAATGTATTATAAATTTTATTGATTTTCTTTTAATGTATTTGGTACAGGGTCTCACTGTGAAGCTCAGACTCATAGTGATCCTTCTGTTTTCAGTCTCCCCAGTGCTGGGATTTCAGAAGTGTGTATGCTACCATGCTCTGTCTAGGTGGCCTGCTCAGTGTGCTCAGGGGCAGAGCCTGTGAGGCATGTGGTGCCCAGATCAAACCCCAGTCCCTGGGCTTGCCTATGTAAGTGCTTTGTCCACTGAGCTAGCTCACTGGCCCTTTCTTGGGTTTTTTGGAGGACATCTGTTAAACCTGAAGTATACAACTTATAAATAATAGCAAATACAATATTATTTATTGTAAATTTTATATAATTGATTTGTATAGAATGCTTTAGTGATTTTGCAGAACACTTGCATCTATAGCTAATCAAAGGTGCAGTATACAACTATAGTTCTGATGTGAATGTCAGTATATGTTTTTATTAATATCAGAGTAAGGTGAGGATGAAACAACAGAGATGTATGCTGGAGTTTTACTTGTTTATAAATGAGGTGAGCAACTTATTTTGCTACATTGGATAGTAGTTTTTCCAATACACGTAGATTATTTCCTCTCTTTTTGGTTGCTGTTTGCAATTCCATGGCTAAGTTTGGTCTGCATTATTTTCTCATGTAAGTCTATACTTCAACAAATAATAGATGCAACACTGATTTTTAGTATTTTTTCAGTTTCTTTGGTATAAATACTTCCATTATACTCAATTTCAAGCCGTTGACATAATGCCATTGACCTATTGTGAAAAAAGGAGATGAACAGTAACTCGTGATTCTGTAGTATTTCTACCATATAAATAAATATAAGAGATATCAATAACTCAAGAGGACAGATAATAGTAAAAAGTAATAAAATAATTAGGAAATGAGCATGGACTTTTACATTTGTTTTTAATATGTCATTGAGTTGAAAATTTATATAATTGAATTTTTAATAGTGATTATATTTAAAACAGGCTCACATAACTCAAAAATTTCACAGTAGATCATCATTGGTCTGGTATATTCTAGCTCAAGCACACCACTGATACACATATATATATGCTTGCCAACTTGATTTGCTTTATGATTGTGGGAAAGATGACCATATTTGTGTTTGTGTGGGGAAGAAGGCTGTGTTGTATTTGTCACTCCATGCAGAGTTTGCAAATGGATGCAAAAGCTTACAAAATGCTTTTGTTTGTGAACTGAATTGTTTGCAAACAGAAGCATTCTCCACCTGAGGCATTACAGCTTGTGTTACTAGACATAATGGCTTCTACTTTTTTTTAACTTAAAATATGTTTAAGATCTCTCCATATCAGCAATATATACTACTTTATTATTTTTTAATAATCACATTATAATAAGGACAATTGTATACCCTGTAAAGTTTCCCATCTATGGAATATTTAGGCCACTTTCTATTTTCTTTTAAATTCTAAACCATAGTACTGTGAATATCCTTGGATATCTCTTCGTTAGTTTTGTAAATATAACTATATCTCAGATTCTTAGACATAAAATCTATGGGATCAAAGGATGTATTAGTATGTTTTGATATGTATTGCCAAATATATATTCCTAAAGGATTGTACCAACTTAAAATAGTAGTTATTAAAAAATAAATAAAATAGTAGTTATTGCTGAGAAAATTGTGGTGAAAAATTGATAGACTATTTGAATTAAGGATCACAATGTTTGTTCTACATTTTACAATTTATAAGTCATTTGTACAATGTTCCCCATTTACAGAAAAGTTGCCGGAACTAGAAAGTGTTTCTTTGGATCCCAGCAATGAGAACCCTAAGCTGAAAGACCTCCACTTAATCTTACAAGAGGAGTACCACTTAAACCCAGAGACAAGAACCATTCTTTTTGTGAAAACCAGAGCACTTGTGGATGTAAGCTTTTTTCTTGTGCATAGTGATTTGATCTAGTACCATTTATATCAAAGATTCCTCTTCCCTCACTGTTCTACATTCAGAACATTCATACACATGTGGAGCTATTCCTGGGTTCTCTATTCTGTTTTGATAATGGTTATTCTTACAGTAATACCTCACTGTCTTAATCACCTCAGATCATAAATCTTGACACCTGTAGAGCTTTGTCCTTTTATAAACTTTAGTCAAATATTTTTTTTTGTATAAATTTTTACATACAACACCTTAGTTTTTTAATTTCCCCCTTTCCTAGCCTTGTCTATCAACAGTTGGATCCATTTTCCACATCTTTTGTTAATTTTATGGTGCCAGTGACTATATTGTTACCTGCATCAGGTCTGCCTTCTAGTTCTGTCTCCTCCCATTGCTCCCTTCTGTTGCCAACATATACTGCTTGTGTTAGTGTGTTAAAACATTTGTCATTGTGGGGTTTTTTTGCCCTTTATTTGCATGAAATATAATAAGCACAGCTCCAAAGAAAGTGGTACCAGCAGTAAAGCCAAGAGGAAAATTGGCAATAGTGTTAAAAAACGAAATCATTGCAAGATTTGTTAAAGTCCTGGGAAAAAGAATTTATAAATGTAATTTTGGGCCTCACAACCAATTATTTGATTTTTCATTATTTCTTATGGGAAAAATATGTTCAGTTCTCCAACTTTGCAGTGTGCAAACACAAATTTTGAATGAACTGAATTCAAAACTATACTTTTTTTCTTTTTGTGCTGAGGGTTGAAGGTTGATTAAAGTAGAGATGTTTAATCAACTTTTTACTAGTGTGGAGATCTCTTTAGTGTCCAATTTCTAGTGCTAAACTTTGTGTGTGACCTTTGTTTCGTTCTCAAAGTCCAATCACCTTTAATTTGGGGACGGGAGGCTGGAGTATAATTGGCCTAGCATCCAGTTTTCTGGAAATGAAGTGTAGTAGTTTTGATGACACAAAGACAATCCAGGTATTGACATACAGTAGACTCAGTTCATGCCAACAATTATGCCACCTCTTGCAAAGGCAAAGAAAGCAGCAACAAAGATAGAATCAAAGGCAAACTGAATATTGACATGCTATAAGAACCAATAAAAACTACCAACCACTGTGCCACCTTTAACATTAAGAGAACTGCCATAATAATTAGTTCATTTCCCAATGTGTTCTGGTTAATCACTATGGTGGGCATAACAATGGAGTTCTTCACTGTATCCTGTCCTGAGCAAGAAGTCACTTTGCTATATTGTTTTTGCAGCTTAAAACCGTATGCTATTTTTGCAGTTTACAGTGTGTGTGCTTTTCTTGAGGCTGCTGCTGTTGGCCTGGGCTATGTCTCTCTCTGGAGCCACTGACCTTCTCTATTACCTTTGTGGTTTGCAGTGACAAAACTAATCACCCTCCCCAGGAGCTGAGACAAGCATTCCAGTGCACTTGCTTCTTTTCCTTGAATTTTCTATC